AAATGTTGGTTACAGTTGACATGAATCCTCTGTGCAATGGAATGTTGCTTAAGGAACATATAGGGGAAGCTGTATTCTTGGGAAACCCGGGAATAGACATGAATCAGTCAGGCAGCTTGGATTGTAGTGAGGATGATACAATAGTGAGGAAATAGATATTGGTGTTGATTTACTAAAGGCAAATAGGCTGTGCACTTTGAAAGTGCTGTTGCACTCTGCAGGTGTAGTTGCTTCAGAGCTTAGTAAATGAAGGGGAGCTCTGCTGGCGTCCATCATCCAATCATGTACAAGCAAAATGTTTTTTTTGTTTTTTATTTTCTTTTCATGTGATTGGATATTCGTTGCAAACTGAAGCTTCACCTCATTTACTCAGCTCTGGCACAACTGGACTTGCAAAGTGCACAGTCTATTTGCCTTTAGGAAATCCATCCCATTGTGTCATGGGTATGGAAGGCACCTAATAAATTACATGTGGCAGGGGACACACAATCTGACACTCCAAAAAGTGTTGTATGATGAAGAACCTGATGGAGGCTCCAGAACTGAAATAGGTCAATGGTAGGGCACACAGGTGAGTATATTAGCTCTTCTTTTGCAGGAACCTTTGGATGGAATTTTTCAAGTGACTGACAGGGTCGCTTTAAGTTAGAGTCAACAGAAGGTAGTAAGTGTCTGAATTTGAGAATGAAATAAAAGCGAGCGAAATAAAACAGTGGCACTGATACATTTTATGAGAGCAATCTGTAAGCTTGAAGAACACTGAGAAATTTGATGCAGATAGTTAGAAAAAAACCTTTCAGTCAACTGCCTAGAACTGCAGAAATAGATACTTCACCCAGAAATAAAGCAAAAATAAATACGCTGCCTAATAAATCCTGGAATTGAAAGGGATAGGCACCTGAATTTGTCAGTGTCTTGCTTTGCAAATCCTCCCAGTTGAGTTGAGCATTGTTACAACCTGTACTGTATGTTATGTTAATAATGCAAAGATCCTTATCCAAGAAAACCATATTTCAGACTCAATTGTAAAATCTGATTGGATGCAGTGGGGTGATAGCACAACATTTCTTTTTGTGAAACCTTAATAAAATCAGTTATTGGGGTCACAAACGTTAGGGGTAGTGAAGAAAAGTATATTACCCATATCTGTGATATCTCAGAACCCATGTATTCCAGATTCCGTATCTAGATTCATGAATGGACAGGTGTTTTGATAAATTATACTTAGATTAAAACATGTCCTATTACATGCCAATTACATTATGATTCATGTTTAGTTCAAAGCTCTGCTCACACGGTCATACAACACGGTCTTTGCTATGGTCTTTATATATCATTTATTTACTGCATATCTGTAATCTGACTAAACTCTTTTTTGTATTTTGTTTTGGCTTCCTGGAAGTTTTATTCGGCTTTATTGAAGAGGTTTTCAGATGTTATTTTGGCGGGTCGTATTTGTATAATACTGCTTTATAAATGGGAAGCCTTGAAGAATAGGAAGCCTTGGGAATGAAAATGTAGCAGTGCTGTTCCTGTGTAGTTGGGGGTTGGTGAAAATGCTACATATTCTACAAGGACCTCTGAAAAGGGGGCAGGCTGAGACATCTGCTCTTGCCAGTTTGCAGACAATAGGCTGATCTATTAAAGATCCTCAGGGTCCAAAGGCACATTGGAGGGCCTCATTGAAAAAAACAATACTGTATAAAAAGTAGTAAATATCTCTAGAACTAAAAGGAAACCCACTTATATTGTAAAGCGCTGAGCAAATTGTTGGCAGTATATAAATCCTGTATTATAATAATAATAATTCTGAGGGGATATGGCTACCAGTGCCAACCTATCCTTCTGAAAGGTCTAGATGCTTGGCTGTCTTGCTGAACCAATGAAGGGCTGCTTTGTAAAAAAATAAAAAAAAAGCTTTAGCACCTGACATACTTCTAGATGCCTGGTCCCCCGTTGCTCACGGTGGTACCTTCCACCAGTCTCTGAGTCACTACTCCCTCCCATGGGGATGAAGAGGCTGTGGGATGGAATCAAAAAGAACAGAGGGTGAGCATGCAAAAGACACTCCCAGAAGTATCAGATGCAGATGATCCTTCAGCAAGCCTAGCAGTGAAAATAAAAGAAAACAGCTACATAGCCACTTTAAAGCATCATACTGTCCTCCCTCCAAAGTCCTCCCTCTTCCACTTAGGTTTCCCCCCAGTAGTATTTAATGCTTTTTTTTTTTTCTTCGGTTTCTCTGATTTTTTTTTTGCACATGATTTTATGGGTCATCTGTCTTCTTCCATCAATATACTGTGAGTGCAGGTCACCAGGCCAAGGGGGTTGGGGCTATGACGCCCTACACTCACAGTCTTTCCATAGTCTTCCATGTTGAGTAAGGCTGCATCATTTATCCTGCATCTGGTGACCAAAAAAAAAAATGTATAAATGCACATCTTTTTGCAGGTTAAAAAAATGTGCATTTATTATTTCTTTACATTTCAGCCTATAAGGCATTGCACCCGCAATCATCAAAGAATTGGTAAACTGCAATAAAATGTTTGGTTTAATGCCACTTTAATTAATTCCATTCAATTTAATTTCTAGGAATTATCAGAGCAGATTAGTTAGGTCAACAAAAAATTTGAAAGCTGCTTTCTGCCTTCACTTTTTTATTGCAAAGAGAAAATTATTTATTAAATTCTGTGTTCAAATGTTGTCCTAGTCTATGTTGTCTGGCACAGATGACATATTCCAGCAAGGCCCACTATCTTCACAGGAATAGAGCGCAATACGCTTTCCTAAAGCCAAAGGGTACAAGCTGCGACTGCCATGAGCAGTAGGAAAATGTAGACACAGCTAGGTGGCAGGCTAGGTGGAAGAATCCAGCTTACTGCACTGCAGTGTCCTGATTCTTGACCAGTGAAGGGTTTTGGAATAGTAGGGATAGTGTAAAAAGTATTTCCAAGAATGCCAGTGCTGAGCTGATGTGACTTGACCTGGCTAATATTTGGTTCATGGAGCATTATTCACTTAGTTTTTGCCAAGGTTTTACCTTGGAATATAAGCAATTTTGATGAATTTATGATGTTACTCATGATAAACTGATCATGATAATAAATGATAATAAAGGATTGATGGTTAGTTGTGAAAACCTGGGGGCACTTACAGGGATATAAATTTGAGGCTTTCAACATGGAAACTGGGGACAGATGGCAATTATAGGTCATGGTAAAGGGGCAAGAAAGCTGTTAAATCAGTGATCCCTGTCACCTAGCAGACAAGTGTTGTCCAAAAAATCTTTATATCTAATATAATATGTCTAATATGTCTCCTTCCACCCATTACTGTTATAGAGTCATTCCATCTATAAGTTAGATTACAGTTGTAGGAACTTAAAGCAGACTTTCACTCCCCTGACACCCTGACACATGCAAGCTCCCTACACTCCTATCCAGTTCCGCAATCTAAAACTTTTTTTTTTTTGTTTTAAGTTATTTTCTCTGATCACTCCTGACCAGGCGAGAATGATGCTTCCCTACTCCCACATGTCCCAGGAGGTTGCAAGATTAGGACAGCGGCTAGAGGGCCGAGCTGGTGAGGGTCATCATGGGCTGGCTGCCTGAACCCGAAAGGACAACTGGCTCACAATCACTAAGGAGTACCAGGGTGGCGGTGCAGGACTTGGGCTGTCACACCCCAGCAGCAGTTACCAGCAGGACAGTCTGATGGGCAGGTGAGTATGGGAAGAGTGAAGTTCCTGTTTAAGCACATACATTTCTCCAGTAGAGTCCCAAGACATATGAGAAAAAGAGACAGGTGGTTCAGCTTTCCAACACCTACCAAATACTGAAATAGCAATTTTGGGTGGACTGACCCTTTAATGGAAGTCTGTACAGAAAGAATTATGGCTGCTACCATTGCTAACCTCCTTCTGAAAACTCCTGGTAGTCTCTGAATTTAATACTACTTACCCAGAACAAGCATGCAGATTAGAAAGTCAGAGTATATCCCTGGAGTGTGCTTTCTCCAAATTAAGGCAAGTATTAAAGTCATTGGCCTAGCATGGCAGATAGCATTTAACAGAGAGGTCAGCAATGATGGCCTTCATATTCACAGAGCAGGTTGTGTTGAAAGACAATGCCCATTCAGGTTCAAAATGCCTCTTGGTTGCCTACCCCAGAAAAGTCACTGATCCATGCTCCCATGCTGCCTTCTGCTCCATCACAGCCCTTGTTCGGTTGCTATAACAGGGTTTGGCTTTCAGGTATCAGGGAGTATGCGACATCCACATGCATCAGTGCTTAGGCCTGAGCATCCACTCATCAGGTCTGAACACTATCACATAGGGGCAGTGACGTCATCCACTGGGACATTTTAAAAAGCATCTGACCTTACTTGTAATGAGGAAGCATGGATGAGTGAGTATACCTTGCTTGGAAGGGCTATTGGTAGTCATTTTTACTTTGTCCTGAATAGACAGATGCCTGCCATAAATTAGAGTTTAGGCCTGATGAAAGGATGCTCAAGCCTAAGCACTATCACATAGGGGTACTGACGTCATCCATTGGGTACATTTTAAAAACCATCTTATACCAGAACTTCTCCTGAATGGATAGGTTATAGCGCCTCCTGAAGGAACAGAGGGTCAGACTACTAGGGAGAGAGAGACAAACTAATACATTTCGCCCGGGACCTTTGCAGTTGCTAAAATATTATAGTTGCCTTGTAGAGCACCTCCTGATGATGGAAACATCTTTTTATTTATTGTCGTTTTTTTTTTTTACACTTTGCAGGTTTCATTGTGGTCATTACTGTGACTTTTTTCTGTTTTGCAGGAGTTCAGGTCGTACTACCAAGGCTTTAGAAATAGCAGCAAGGTGGAGTCGGACACATGTACCGGCTTCATGGGCTTAAAGGATGATTTCGGGCACAGCTTTGGACATCTTTACGTAGAGAGCAGTAATTCCAATTTAAGTGCAATTGTACCGTGGACTATCCTGCGGAAACCCACCATGGATAAAATCAATTCGAGAAAGGATGATTTGGACAAAGATACCTCCGAGGAGACCTGCAGCACCAGCGGTGACTCCGAAGAAAGCACAAATTCTGACAACGAGTTGGAGTTGTCGGGGAGACTCGTAGCCGAACCTTGTCAGGTAAACAAGCCACACAGACAGCTCTGTCGCTCTCCTTGCATTGAGCCATACATTCTGAAAAGGAATGAGATTCTACAAGACCTAAAAAATGAGGATGATCTGACAGGAGCTAAAGAGATCAAGAAGCTACCTGACGTGTCGAAGGAATACCAAACAAAACTGGACTTTGCACTAAAGCTTGGATACTCGGAAGAACAAGTCCTTCTTGTTCTCAACAAGCTGGGAACTAATGCTTTAATCAATGACATTTTGGGGGAACTTGTCAAGCTTGGTAGCAAGAGTGAAAGTGAGCAGAATGGAAGTGTTAGTACAAATGTACGGGAACCATCGTCCTTTGAGTCTCAAAGATCGGAATCTCCTTTTCATCAGGAAGGAATAGATGATAGTGATAACCTAAGGCCCATTGTTATTGATGGGAGCAATGTTGCCATGAGGTAAGTCAATACCAAATTTGGGGTTTAGGTTTCATATGCACTCAATGGACCCCCCAGGTTCTGAGTTTTAAGTATCATATTTTATTATCTGGAATTCATCTTACCTGTTCTGTAGATATGCTTAGTATTGTTGCACATCATTTTAGCTGAACTCAAGGCAGAGATAAAATACATAATTTATTGCAGATTTGAACTCAATAATACACTGTTAAATCTATTTTTAAAAGTACAAGTAGTGTAAACACTTGAATTTAACTTGATATCACTCTCTTTCAACCCCGGAACAGTAGAGGTCAGACTGCTAGAGAAAGAAGCTGAACAAGGAGCCAATCAGTTCTGCTGAAGTTCCCATGTGCTTGCAAGGGACTTACTGATAGGAAGAGAGCAGAGTGACAGAGAGATTCAGTCATGCTTTGAGGGTGGGAAAAGGCCTGTAGGTGTTACTTAATCAAATCAGGGAAAATCAGGTCTTCTGTTCTATCAAAGAGGGCTGTGCTGAGCAGCAGAGCTGATTAAATCTCAGAGCTGGATGGAAAGAAATAAAAAAACCTTTGGTAAAACCGCTCACATATGTGATTTTCATCTGTGTATTTAGCTGTTAGCTTGTAGTTCAGCTTTAAAGGTGTTGTTAGGCAGAAGATACAGCTTTCTAGTTTGTTTATCTGACTAGTATCAGTATAATAGCATAGAGTGATTTTTATGTATATCGCATTTTACTGAAATATGATTGGATGGTTGAAGCTAGCACAGCTTTCTCAATTTCACTAATCTAAATAAAAATCCACTTGCAAATTGAACATTCTCTACTTGACCTAAGGATTGTTCAAAAACCTGTCCACAATCCCTTCCATATTCACACCCATCACCTTTACCATTCCCATCACATGATGAGAACTGTAGCTTGTTTAAGCGGCCCTACACACTAACAAGAAGTGACATCACTGCTTCCCTGATACCACCTTCAGGTGCTCGGAGATAGCTGTGGTTTCACATTAGAAGTGATGTTGTCACCAAAATTATCTAGGTGAAAAACACAAAAACTAGGTCATTTTCAAACAAATATGTATGCAAATGTTTTCTTCTTTAAGGGCATGTATACTGGTTTTGTAGATATTTTCTTTCCTTTATTGTGGCCAGGACTAATAAATAATGGACAATTAAAATAAAAATATGTTTTGTAAAAATACTTTTTTTTTTTTTTTTTTTTTTTTTTTTTTATAGATATGAGATTTAACATCAAAGTTTTACCTTCTCTTCTTCAGCTAGCAGGTGGAGCTTTAGATTCATTCATACACAATTTAAACTGGCCCTGTCAATTGCAAAAAAAACATATAGCTGTTCCCTGTAATAGAAGAGCTGTTATATTCACCATTATATAGCTGTTCCCTGTAATAGAAGAGCTGTTATATTCACCATTATATAGCTGTTCCCTGTAATAGAAGAGCTGTTATATTCACCATTATATAGCTGTTCCCTGTAATAGAAGAGCTGTTATATTCACCATTATATAGCTGTTCCCTGTAATAGAAGAGCTGTTATATTCACCATTATATAGCTGTTCCCTGTAATAGAAGAGCTGTTATATTCACCATTATATAGGTGTTCCCTGTAATAGAAGAGCTGTTATATTCACCATTATATAGGTGTTCCCTGTAATAGAAGAGCTGTTATATTCACCATTATATAGCTGTTCCCTGTAATAGAAGAGCTGTTATATTCACCATTTCGTCAGCCTGAGTCTATTACTGTTAAAGAGTCTCCCAAAAAGATTTTAGTATTCTTTACTTTCAGGAGTGTCATATACTTGTGACCCCCTGCCACGCACTGATGTTTAATAATCCAAACCCTTTGTCACTACAGGACTCAGGCCCAAGTCACACTTGGCAATTTGGAATTGCCGTCAGAATCACCGCGATTCTGCCTGAGATTCCAAATTGTGATATACCATGTAACGTACGTGTAGGTGCCATTCATTCTTAATGGCACCCCCAAATGTGGTGCAATTTTGCTGCGATTCTTGCAAAACGCACCTTTAAAATTGCACAAAGCTCATTGCCCAAAAAGGAGCAGGATCTTCTTTTTTGGCAACAAACACACATAAGACAGCCCATTGAAGTGTAACACATGTAAATCACTCTTAGAAAATGGCAAGTGGGAACACTCATTCCGGATACACAAGATTTGAACGGGTAGAGGATATCAGCATCCAGCACTCCCAGAATTGTGGAATGCCAATGACTTTGTCGGAGGCTGCAGCTCTAGGAAGAAGGAGAAGTAAGAGACCTGGGCTGCCACAGAGGTGAGTACAAGTGATCTTCTATTACAGGGAACAACTATTTCATTTTTTAAGGGAAGGACAGGGCCTCTTTAAAGTCTCTCAGCTGTTTTTTTTTTGATGAAAGAAGCCTAGTTTTTACAAAGTTCAGTGACTCATTCCACTAACTTAGGCTCCGTTCACACCTATGCAGTTTGCTTTTTGTCCATTTTGCAGTGCTTTTCACAGTTCATTTCGTTGTATGCGTTTTTTGACATATTGTTGACGCATTTTTACCGCATTTTGTTTATCTCTATTTTTTTTTTTTTTTTTAAAGTGTAATTTCTTTTTTGCTGGGCAGAATAAAAATGCAAAACACGGCAAACACACACTACCATGCATTTCAGCAGATTCTCTATTAAACTCTATTGTAGCAAAAATGCTGCATTTTGCTTTTAAAAAAGTCCCTGACCCTTTCCAAAAATGCAGTAGCTCAAAAAAGCATAGATGTGAACATGTCCCATTGGAAACCATGTTAAATGGACCGTAGTGCGTTTCTGTAAAAAGCACTAAAAAACGCATTGGTGTGAACGGAGCCTTATTCCTTGTTAGAGGGTTTAGTCTACAGTTGCAGTCAGACAAATTGTGCCTCAAACTGTGTTGTGTGTCTCTTTAGGTTATCCATGGTGCTATGGAAATCTGTTGCTTTGTATACATTTTTTTGTAAACCTAATATATATATTTTTTTGGTTTTTTTTTTTTTTTTTTTTCTGTGCTTTGTAAATGTGTTAGAAATATGCAGTGGTTTTGAAAGGGAATTTCATCTAAAAATAGAAATGAATTCCCTGCACCCTCCCCAAGAATCATCTGCCTCCCATCTGTGCGGGTGTACTGATCTGTACACTTTTAAACTCTGTAAACGGTGGGGACTGGAGCAGTGGGAAGGGTGTTGGTTATTCATCCTCATTATTTAGGTGTAAAGGTGGAACTACCCTTTAAGTATTATAAACATAAGCACAGGCATATGGAGAGGCAACTGTCAGACAAAGTAAAGCTAAATATGGGGCCTAAAAGAAAAACAAAAAGCTTGCTGATCGATAATACTTTAAAATGTTACTAAACCCAGGACCCTGCATATCTGGTCTCCCACAGTACACAGAACATGGAAATGCAATTATTTTAGGAAATATAAACTGCTAATTACTTTTTCATCAGTAGGTAAAGCAGTCTTGTGACCTCTATCAGTGTCCAGCTGAGCACTGGTTACAGCTTGTAGGAGGAGATTTAACCTCTGACCTCTGTCTGGACAGTGCTGATTGGCCCTGTGCTGATCATATGCACTTTCCTAAGAAAAAAAAACCTCCCTAGCAATACACACCAAACCGATCATGTGCATTTTGCCCCCGAGCCTCTGTTCTATCAGGAGATATTTGGGAGACACTGGAAGAAGAGGAGGATCAGAGAAGTCAGGATCAAACAACCTTTTTACACAATGTGGAGGATTAACCCCTTAGGTTCCACAGTGAATATAACAAGCATGCTTTACTTCTTTTACTGTTGTGGGTTTAGTAACACTTTAAGTATAGACAGCTTTTAGATTCTCCGCAATTGTAAAACATCAAACCAGAAGAGTCTCTACGTGATACGTCTTATTTGAAGAACGACAATAGATAGAGAGCCACAGGTTGCCATCACTGGTGCAGAATATTATTGTCCTTCCTATATAGAAGTGTCACTGTTTGATTTCCCTTTTGATATTATATACCCTGAACTCCAGTGACCTGACGGGTGACACCACGGTTTCTGGTTGGAGGGATCTATTGTGGTTACCACGGAGTGACCCCATGGGAAAGACAAAAGATTTTTTTTTTCCATGATGAAAGTGATTTCCAGGTTTGGAATAACAGGCAAAAGTAGACAAATTTCTATTCTGCTTTTCAGTTTTCTTTGTATTTTATATTTCTCACACTCTCCCCTTAAAATCTTTACGTCAGCTTTCAGTATTCCCAGTGCTCAGTCCAAGCCATTGATGTGCTAATGAGGTTTAGGCATTGTGAACACTGCTCATTAGAAAAGATGAGCCCCTTAATGAGAGGTTTATTAAACTCTGATTAAACAGATTTGATTTTCCCAAACAAAAAGTTAGATGAAATAAAAAAAGAACATTATACACTAAAATAAAAAACAAATAAAAAAAGAACATTATACAATAAAATACGAAGCAATTAATATGCTGTGTGAGATGATATTTAGAGGTGCCTGTTTTGGGTTATGTCAGAAAAAAAGGAAAGTTTCCGATACGTTTGATCCTGTCACAGAAAGGCAAGTCTGCCCACACTCCATCCATCAGGCATGTTCTGTGGACACAAGCGGGCTGATTGCAATGTCCTCACACCCAGCATTTATGGATCTTTTGGAGTTTTTAATGCCCAAATCTAGACCTTTCTTTTAAGGGATAATATGGAGAAAATGAAAGTGTTACTAAAGGCAACACTTTTTTCATTTTGGATAGAGTAGGGGAAGGTTATAACCCCTGTCAGTTTTGTTTGCCATTTGTGTCCCATTGGGGAGATTTCCCTTCACATCCTGCCCCATAGTCAAAACAGGAAGTGAGAGGAAATCCCTCTAAAGTGAGGGAATCTTGGTGTGTCACATGAACTAGTGTCCCCTTTGGATGATATAGCCATGATTCCTGTTCTAGGGATAACCCAAAATGTGGGATTTTCTTTCAATGATAATGGTAAAC